CCTTTCCCTCCTCCTCCTCCTCCTCCGCATCATCATCATCTGGCATTTACTTAACAATGATCATATTCCAGGCACTTGTCTACATGCTTTATGTTTTTTTCTCTCTCTTAATCCTTACAAGAATACAGTGATGTACACATAATTATTTGCATTTTACAGATGAGGAAACTGAGGCTATGAGAGATTTAGGAATCTGCCCAGGACTAAAGCATAAAGTGTGACTTTAAGGACTGCCCTTTGCTTTTAAGCATATTTCCTCCAGTAACAATTTCAAATTTGGTGTACACATTGCATGGTGTTGAAGAAGAAAGCCAAGAATATGTAAAATAAAGATTGTTTATGGAACACACACACACACACACACACACAAATCTCAGACTACAGAAAGCTTGACAGTGTACCATTTGAAAAATGCAAATTAATAAAATGTTCCAGTAAAAATCTGCACCTTTAGAAAGAGGAAAATAATACATAAAAGGAAGAAAATTTTAGAAATTTCAGAAAAATGGGCATGTTCATTTTTCAAATGTCACTCTTCTTTCTCTCTAAAAAATACACAAGTTATTATTACTATTAATCTCACTTCGATAGAAATTTCTGAGATTTCAACAGTCCACTATCTTTTATTTTTTAATGGAATACTTTTGTATTTTTAATACCATTTATTAAGCTCCAAAATTTATAAACTAGATTACCATAAAAAGAAAAATACAAAAATAAAGAGCACCATTTCATTCCTAATTCATTTTATACCAAAGGAGGGGGAAGGGTGGAATACAGCCCATGAGATTTTCAAAAGCTATTAGTATAAGTACCTATTCTGTGATAACATTATCTCAGACACCAAAGATTCTATCTTTAGTTTGTTTTTATTTGACTTTTTGAGAAGCTTGACAACATGTGAAAACTCTGCATTGGCCCAACAACCAATGTCAAAAAAAATATATTTTACTGAAGGTGGTCCAAATCAATGTGAGAAATCATTTGCAACATTATCTCTGAATGATATTTATTGTTCAGCTTCCTAAAATTTGAAATCTTTCAAAATACTTTTTCCCTTAGAGATAACCCACGTTTTCTTGTTCAGCCCGCTTCTTTCTATTCATCCCAGAAATTATCTCCAGCCTATAAACTACTTACTAGACGTGCCACATAGGTGCTCATCACTGTTATCATGACAGTCATCAATGCCATCACAGCGGTAGTAGCTGGGCACACATCTGCCATTGTTACACGGGAAGGAAAAGGAGCCACACTGCTCCAAGGGCGGTTCGTGGGACGGGTCTTCCACACATGTCAAGTGATTAGAAGTCAGGCTCATTCCATAGGGACAGCCACACACCCGCTGAAAATTTGGCACCGGGAAGCAGAAGTGGCTGCAGTCCCCATTCGGGTGGGTGGGTCGATTACAATAGTTAGAACCTGAAAAGGCAATGTCCAGAGATAGCAAGTTAATCACATTTCCATTAGGTTGACCACAGGTATGGTTTGTGAAGAAAAACAAATGGGAAAGGAAACTTTTCAGACCCAGTATCAAAAAGTACCTTCCTCTTGGAAATCAGCATGCCAAACATAACACTCAATATGAAAACAGAAAAGTGCTAAAATGTATTTCTTCCAGCAACACTCTTAGAATTAGCAGAGTTGAACAGAGATTTTTTTTTTAAAGGAATTACAAATGAGAGCATGAGTGGGGGAGAATGGGGGTTAATGGGGGGGGGGGGATGGGGACACATTTGTAATTCCTGAACAGAAATTAAGTCTTGCAGCATGAAACTATCTGGGTGATAGGAATATAAAACTATCAATATCTATATTAAGTAATAAGTACTTAAAGAAAAAAAGAATCTACTGTATTAAATACATCCATAGAAAAGAGCGTGGCGGCCTCACTCACCAATCTGGATGCTGTCATCATATGATTTCACATGCATTATATTACTGATGCCACTTCGGATAACTGTCATCTCTCCACCATCCGTTTTCCTGACTCGAACAATAGCACCCAGTCTCCAGTCAGTAAAAAATACATAGTCTAAGAAGAAACACGGGTGATTAGTATTTTTGTCACAGCTCACTTTTAAATCACTTAAAAATATGCAGTAGGTTTGTAATGCTTCTTGCAGATATCAGAAGCTTCTCCCATAAATACATGTAATATGTGCAAGTAGTCATTTTCCGTGACTTGTTACTCTCTAAAAAGGACTCTTCATGAGCCTGTATATCTATTAGTACTAGGGCTCATATTCAGGCAGACACGGATGGAGTATTGTGATGGCATTTCATAGCAGTTAGGTTTAGATTTCCATGAGTGAAAGTAAAACATTAAGAAACCTCGGGATTCTTCTAGAGAACCCTGGAGGGTGCCCCATAAGACTGAGTTCTTCTTATCCAGCTAAAGGACTAACCTGAGCAGTGCTACTGGGCAAATACTTAACTGTGTGAAGGCTCATTTTCCTTTGAAAACTAAGGTAATAGACTATAAATCATCTTTAAGCTTCCTTCCAGGTCAAAAATTCCATATACCATGTCTTAGTGACAATATATTTTTTAAAAAAAAAAACATTTTACACTCAGTTTTAATAAAAAACTGTTGAAAAAGAAAAGTACAGATCTAGTCCAAAAAGGAACTTTCAAGATATGTTTGGGGGTCAATAAAAATTATCCACAGAAGTGTGTCTATACTTACAACGACATTCATGTTCCAAGAAATTCAAAATAGTAAGATAAAAATCATGTAAGATTTTTAAAATCAAAAATTTACTCATATTCACTTTACACTACCGAAGCAGAAAAGTAAACATACACATTTTGATAGTTTCTAACAAGAATTAAATCAAAGTGGATTTTCTTTTTAACAACAGCATAACTAATTAAAAATTCCAACTAACCAGATAATGACTGAGATGACACAAATTTTATCATTAGACTTTTTTTCCTTACCTATGGTCTAATCAATGACTCATCAGTTTTTGGACTCACTAAATATTATCTGGGCTGATTGGCAACCTCAGTCCCCCCACTTATGAAGGAATTTTACTGACTTAAATAGACAAGCAATCCAATAAACCTTTCAGTCTTGTGTGGTGTGACCATCAAGCAAATCTAGCCTTTGTTAGAAAGATGTATAATTTCCACAGAGTTGCACAATAAAAGAAATTTCCATAACACAGTCCCGATAAAGGGCTGTGTTGGAAGAAACTATTATCATT